ATAACGTTAAATTACAAACTTTGGGAATGGGATCTGGAATGAATATGTAGAGGGAATGAATGTGTAGAGGGAATAAATTTAAGCCAGTCTCAGCCCTTATTGTTTGTCCATGACTTTCGACACAACGTCTAAAAAATCCCTCCACTTCATCTGAAGAATCACGTATTAATATAACCTCTTCACAACTCACTGTCACCATGTCAGCTTCTTCATTTCTTTTTTTTTTTTTGGTTGTGTCTCCTATTTCAGATACGATTTTCGTCTGATTGTTTGTCTTCGTTTAAAAGTTCTGTTTTTTCTTTTCAATGATCTTTTTCTTAACGGTCATTATCTTTTGTTCAACTTCTTCAGTGGGCCGAATCGGCAGGAGCGCGATAATATTTATTAATCCTAAACCTAAGCTAATACATAAGCTATTGAAGCTTCTTTCAAATTTATACCATTACCTTTTGTATTTGTTAGTATGAAGAAACAAAAATAGTTACAAAAAGAGCCATTTTCAGTAAGGCACACATTCCAAGAGAGCTCACACAAAAAAGATGACGCGGTGATAAAGTGTACATATTTTATAGTTCGAAATACAAAGTCGTCTAAGACGTTTACTTACCTTATCCAGCTGAAAAACTGATAAAAAGCGGTAAGTGATAAAGTATTCATCAAGATTAGTGAAAACGAATTCAGGCGAACAAAATGCTGAAACGCTTTTTATAAGACTTAAGAAAAAATATGATTGCATAAATATTGCATTGTTGCTAGATACTTATATGCAGTAATAAAATAGAGTTAATAAATTCACTTAACTATTAAATTAGAGAAAACTGTTCAACATTTACAATATTGCAAAATAAATCAGGTTTTGGTACTACATATACGTTGCTAATGGACGAAAAAGATTGGCACTAAATCAAAAAATAAAAACATTTCTGAACTTTCACGAGCTATTTTAAAACTTGGCCAATTTTTTTATCGTAAAAAATTGTCTACTTTAGTAGACATTTTTGAAGCAATGTAAAACAAATATAGAAATTATCTGATTTTATTTCGCATCAGAGCCTCACATCGCGTTTCATGTCCATGTGCAATAAATCGTTTAGATATAGTCTTGCAAGACAATAAATTACCCCTGTGGTGAACCTGAATTCTTCCGAATAGAGTGGGTTAGAAGGAAATATTTAGTATTGCAGTTTCAGTTGCTTGGAGTGAAATACGAGCCAGGAGCTTAGCGATCTTTGGTGCTTGCAACATTACAAGACCACCTGCAAGATACTCTATTAGATGCTGATAAAATGAAAATACGGATCTTATATATCTGCAGGACCAAGATGAAAAATTGTAGAATATGTAGAGAAAATAACCGGATCTTTCTACATTTTTTGACTATTTGATGTATGCTTAACAACAGAATAGTAATTTGCTGAACAAGTATATAACTAAAATACAATTTGGCAGTTTTCATTAATTTGAGAATATGTTTATTGAACATTTATATTAAAAAACATTTGAAAACGATTCATAATTTTAGATGGCATGACTTCAAAAGTCCATGTATTCCTCAACAGAAACAGTTCTACTATTTCCGACATCAAAATACAGTTTTCGGATTAGATATTTCGATTGCAAGAGGATGAATGTCGCACAAAATTATAAATCGAGCGTTTCCAATTTTCAGAGATATGATAAATTTAGAATCAATAAGTGGAATAAAATAGTACGATCTTAAGGTCTAATATAGGGTTTAAGCTGAGAACCTATTCCGAGTTTCAATCAAATTTAATAATTAATTATAGAACCTAAATCAAAGGCTTTGATATTGAGCATACAAGACGCAACTGAACCAACTTCGGCAAAAAATGGCTTTTCCAGCACTTTTTATCCCGCACAATTAAATTGAAATCGCCGAAGCAGAAGGAAAGATATTAGAAGTTACAGTATTTAATTAACACTGGAAGCTAGAATGAAATGATTAGGGCGCAAAGTTATTAATGGAGACAATGTTCAGAATGTTTTTTTCTCTGTGGTGATGTTTTTTTTGTAAAATGCTATTAACTGTTTGCGGAATTTACTATTACATTCAGTAAAAAAATATAGTTAATTAATCCGAGTCTATCGTTGGGCTGAAAGCAAAATATTAGGATGTATACAAGCAATTCCTTATAAAACAGAAAAACAAAAGATTTTGAGAAAACTTTCCTAATCAAATGACTAAGAACCGTATTCACAGAAAATAAGATACTTTTCAGTATTCAATGCAAATTTGCCATCATTAACTTTAACAGTCACGACTGGTTAGAGCAGAGATCGTCCGCAGAAAACAGACAATATACAATCATGTCTCATGTTGAAATATTTTTTTTGGCAAAAGACAAAGCTTTAATTTGAGGCAAACTGACTGCTAGCCACCCACGATCACTCAGAGAAAAGATTTTTCATCTTTTTTCCCCTGTTCTCCATTATCTTGTTTTCTGGAAGGCTTTTTCGCAGACATGCGATGCCTTTTACGAATCTATTAAGTATTAAGCAACCAACATCGATCTAAATTTGTTTTTTTAGAGTAATTAAGTAAAATGTTTATTAAACCACTGAATTCATTAAAATTAAATATAATTATCGTTATTGTTATATTACAATATAAATCTCGTTCTTGCAATTGGAAGCACATTTTTCTCATTAGAAACTATTCCCAATTTAAAATGGACTATTATCTCATTTTCCATCAAACTGTAATCACGTACGTTACGTGACTACTATTTATTTGAAAAAGAACAAGCCGGAATTCTCGTATCGGCCGAAAATTGGAAAACTCTTCCCGTGCTTCGATCTAATGTGGTATTAATATTTATAATTGGTAAACGTTTGCTTACGTGCAGTTATTTTCTCGTTTTAAGTGATAAGGATATATAATATTTCCTAATAAGTTCAAACATTTGCAGATATTTACCCAATATTAATTTGCGTTTAAAATAACGTGGATATTTGTTACTAAAAAAACAAACCAGTAAAATTAGATGCTAAATAGTTCGAGGATGTTTTTTTGCGCCGACGCATTAAATATTCAGCAATTTAATGAATCCATTTAAATTTATTCAAGTCAAATACAAGGTTCATGGACCGCTTATTATTGGCATTTCTTCAGTCCAATCAATTGAAGCGAAACCTAAATCTCAAGCAAATTCTGTGCAATTTTTAATTCAGAGATTGTAAACCTCATAGGAATTCACGTCAATATACTCAAGACCAACTTAAATATTTACACTTGGTGAAAGTCACGTTGGATCAGAAACATGTTAAATTGCTATAGAATAACCAGAGAGGTGATATTCTTTTAAAGAACTGAAACTATTAAAACTTAAACACTTCATTGCAGGTGAAAGTATCGATTGAAAAGTTTTCTGTGCTTATAAACCGTGGAACATTGGAATGATTTCCAGACGTTTCGGTCACATGTGCGGTAAACATTATCAATGGCAATCAGGCCAGGCTCGATGTTGTTTTTCGCGCACGGGCTTTTCTTGCCAAGCTACGCCCATCTGATGGGAACTAATAGATCACAAACCGTTCTTGGAAGAGCTTGTTTGTGACAACGAAAAATCCGTGCTTGTACTAAAGCTGCTACCAAATATTCGTGGTAAAAATTGCTTAAACTGTGAGCAAACATCACAATGTTTTATATGATTTCTGATCTTTATTACACTTTCTTCTTTGTTCTTCAGTTCTAAGTCCTTCAGCTATGAGTTGTGCAGTCTTTTTTCGTCAATGTTTTCTTATTTTTCTCCTCTCAGTACGTAACCCAGAAACTGATTTTTTCCCTGTTTGTTCACAAAAAACAGCAATATGCCGTTGTTTGTGAAATAGGTATGAACGATTCCGACATACATATTTACAGGAAGTAATACTCAACTTGAACAAAAATCTCTTTATATTGTCTACATTTAGCAGTTTTATCACTCATCAAGTTAAATCCTTCAATTTGCTGAATGACGAAATTTTATATCTTCTTTTAAAATGATGCTTATTATATATATTTATGCTATTTTTGTATATTCCTGATTTCGAACATTGCAATTGCATGTGCTGGTTGTTTAATTTTTACCCCTACGCTATTTGTCGAACTTTCTTCATTTTTGTCCGATAAAACTTGCAAAAGCATCAATCAAACAAAGCGAAAGAAGGTGAACGTATTCGAAATGAATAACGGTTAAACAAGCTTCACATGAATAAAATAATAAATAATAACAATTAAGAAAATGATCAACAAAATCGCAGTAGGGTTAGAAGGAAATATTAACGGGTTTGGAACAGTCTACTCAAGCATTTAACCACTTTTTCAAACTACATTATTAAAGAATTTTATTATTTTCCACGTCAAACTTCCGGAAATATAAAAAGCTTGACGACGTCCCATAAAATATCAAGACACGGGCTGGAGCCTGACACCCACAATAGTAAGCGCTATCAACTGGTTATCATTTTTCGATGTTTCCAAACAAAAAGAAAGATTATCTGGAGTTATGAAGACCTTTACAAATATGGATTTTCATTTTCATGAAAAGAATATTAGATCCTGCACGTATTTATATATGGTTTATTTGTTGCATTGTGAGCTCTCCAATGAATTATAGTTGCTTGTGTAAGCTGCGTAAGCCTCATATCAAAAGGTTTGCACACTTGGGGCTGTAAAAAAGATAAATTGCCATTTATATGAGTTTATACTTGGTGTAAATGCTTCTAAACGTAACAGGTATGTGTGGGAGGCTTAAACGAATTTAAGAAATAAAATTTATTTGTGGGCTATTTAAGGGCGCATATATTTCCACAATAGGAGACAGGAAGATAAAATGTATATCTCCATGTGGATTTTTGCAACATTTTATAAAGAGAATTAAATTACGGCCAAACAGAAGAATCAGTATTAGAGTCGCATATCTGATACTTAATTATTTCTATTGAGCGAATGTTTTGCTTGCTTCTATTACTCAACAACCATTTTTATATTGTTTCAGACGGCGATATGGACTGAAGAAAATGACACCAAGCATCACTTTCTCCAATATATGTTTCAGCAGTATGCAGTCATCGGCAATCTTCAAGAACTCTGGGGGTTCATTTTATAATTACCAATAGATATTTAAAATAACCAGATTGTGAAGTGCAATATTTAGTTAAAGATAAATAGATTGATAGTAACTCGTGTAATGAAATTAGCAGAAATGTGTAAATAGAATGATATTTAGCGGTTCGTAAGCATTTGTGTGCAACGCTTGGATCTCATGGACAACAACTGATGGTCAGTCCGAAAACTTGCGTGACAAAATTGGGTCATAGGGGTGTGCAGTGAAGTGGGGATTTTCACAAAGTGAATTTATTACTCCAAGAGGAAAATATGGGCTGTGAATTAGGAAAATTGGCGAGCCGCGATAATCGCAATGGGGCCCGGAAATTCGAAGAGCCGACTCCACCCCAAGTACAGGTAGATCCCCGGCTACCTCTTACAGCGAAACAAAAATACAACATGATGGCTTCATGGAAAGGGATCAGCAGAGCCATGGAAAGTACCGGAGTCTGTATGTTTCTTAAGTAAGTAAATTCTCTTCCATTTTGAATTTATTAGTTTTTTTGGCGACAAAACTTTCCTTTATTGAGTTTAAATTGCTTGTATTTAACTCACTCAACTAACAGGGCATTCGAATAGATGTATTTAGAAAATTCACTATAATACAGAAATAGTTCCAAAACTAGGTTCCACAGTTTTAATTGCAGATTCTACTATTAAGAATGAGATCACAAGCACACAAAATCATCACATCTTTTTGTCTCAAAAATATCATACAAACAAATTGAAAACGCTCTGTTTACGCAATTCTCCTTCTACAGTGTTTCCGCCAAGTTTTCACTACTGCTAACAAACCAAATAAACTTGTTTCACTTTTCACGCGTAAGAAAGTTTACCATCCACAGATATGGACCAGATTTCACTGCAACCCTCCACAATTTTTGCTAATGTTAATTTCTGAGGATGTTTTTTCTTTACCTCAATTCTTCCTGTTTGACTGTCAACACTAATTTTCCTTCTTCATTGTTTCCTTCGTTTTCTCGGCTTTTTCAGCACTCGCACGGTTTCACATATCTTGCGATTATTTTTATTAACTGTTTGTTGAATAATTGGACAAGGTACAGAAACTTCTGTGGATAAGCAGGGAAACGAAGAGTTCTGTTGAAATTGGGAGGAAAATATTCATTTGGAGCTTTCCATTCAGGGCAACCTGGTAATGAATTCAAAATGCCGCCTCACTTTGAATGTTTGGATATTCAGATATTCAGCTGCGGTAAATGTGAAAACATTTTCTTTGAAGGGAAAACCTCGGTTTTACAAAATTTGTTTATTGTGGTTTTCATAGTTGCTGCACTTAGAAAAGCACTACCAAAAAGCGCATGGAAAAGTATTAAATTAGAAATAACATTTAACCAGACAGAGCGGAGTGCATGTTTACTTTGAAAGTAGAGTTTAGAAAAATCGATATAACTTTTAACTCACTTTAATATAATAATTTCATATTAATGTTTAGATGAAATTGCTTAATTCTAATATGAAATAGAAGTTTATTAACTTAGGAAATTGTTATACGTAGGTCACAATTAACGAGATAAATTACTAACTCAGTTTTGTATTTTTTGTAAAGTTATGAAACGAACGCTCGAAATCAAGACGCCAACTTCCTCAATATTTTACCGCCTCAATCTCCTTTGTGGGACATTTTAATTTAAAAAATTGGAATTCTCTCTTCACATCGGAAACTTCGAACTTTTCGAATGTGAGCTATGATCTTAGAATCACGCGAGCATACTGATCAAAAGGAACTTATCATAGTTCAACAACCAAACTTTCAACAAGAAATTGCAAGAACAAAACAGAACACAATTCAAAATAACCTACGTTAAAATAAAATCTGTCAAAAAGCATTGAAAGCAAAATTAGTAGATTTTTACTTAAAAATGTCTGTAGTTTGTCCATCTTATATTTCGAAAACAGAGAGTCTGTGAACCTTCATTTACCTATATGAAATTTGTATATTATTCATTGACGCCGAATAAGCATTTGAAACTATGCAACCGTATAGCGTTCACACTGCATTTATTTTGAAGCCTTTCTTGTTATATGAAATTAAGATTTAAATGGTTTACAACATTATCCAAACCAGTACATTTATAAAGTTGCCAAACTCTACCCTTACACTAAGCTGGAAAACTATTATTTACTCAAAGCTACGAGAACGTAAACTTTAATATACTTTTTCTGGATCTAGTTAATTTTTAATTAATTTCTAATCATTTTTTTACTTCTCGCATTTATCAAATTTGTGAAATATTCTGGCTATTTCGTCAAACATGCAGGCACGAATAAATTTCCTGCTAAGCTCGGACATGAAGTTTCAGGCATGAAATAACTCATAAATTTATCGATATGTATGGCGGTGCACACGAAGAAGTTGTTAGTGAAGCTTATTACGATCAATACTCAAAAACTTTAAAAGTTGATTAGACAAGTTATTATGGTTTTAAACTTTATTCAAAATAATATTTGCTGTACATCGTTTTTCTAATTTAGCAGCTGTATTCTACAATTGAACTCTGAATAAACTCTGACTAGTTTTCTACAAATGAATTAGCGCTAACTAACTCACAAGCAAATAGCCTGTAAAGCAACATTAATTTCTACTTTTAGAACAAGTTCGACTAAGCGAAAATATTATTCAATGTCAGAGTTTTATTAAAAAACAAGTTAAAATTACATTTTCAAACAGCTCTTTTCACCAACAAGGAAAATTGGCCCAAAACTCATTCATTGTAAATATGGTTTCCAAATAACAAATGGGGAAATCCCTGAGAGCTGAGCGCATTTCATAACCTTTTGTATTTAATTTTGGGAGAACGTATCATTATTTCCATTATATTACGAGTATTGTAAAATTGCATTGGAATAAAATATAATTTATTTGTTTTCTCATTTAAAGCTGTCGGACAAAATAAGTACATTTAAAATTAATGGACTTGGCATTTCAAAACGACTGGATTTTAGAGTGGCCGGAGTTTCTTTACACAAATATTACCTCTCTTGCACCACAAAGAAGCAAAAGCCGCAGTTTTGTTTTTGTTTTGCTTATTTATATGGAATTTCAGGAAAGTAGAATTATTACATTGGGACAATTTGCAGCTGAAATAAAAAGTAAGGCTATTTCATTTTCTACTCAAAAGAAGTTGTTATGTAGTTTCACAGTATTATATTCTTGGGGGCATACGTGTTCACAAATCTGATAGATTTATATCCTTTATAAGCCATCCTTGCAAAATTACTGTTAACACAAAAGCTTAAAAATAAAATTTGTTCAAGAAAATGTGTGTGCAAAGAAATAGTAATCTAGTAATATCTACATTAAAGGAGGAAAAGTGGTTAATATTTGGTTTGTAATAGTTTAGAAATATAATATTTTCTTGGATACTAGAAGTTTTAGGGTTGGGCGGGCGTTAGGTCTGGGGAACTCAGTGAATTTTTAGGAGTTGGCGCAGTGCTGCGCAAATGGCTTGTTCCTCAGATCCGTTGCTGGGAAAATGTTGATGACCCTTTTTACTTGTTTTTAGATTTAGTGTAAGGGCCATTTAATTAATAATATTTTTAAAATTGCTTAAAAATTTTAGAATTTTCCAGTTGACAATCTCAAGGTATTTTCCGTGAAAATTTTTCAAATAAATTTAGAATCCTTCGTCGCTTTTTAAAAAAATTTGAAAACGAAAAAGCAAAAAAATAATTATTTTCTTCTTTTTTGACAATAATGGGGAATTTTGAGCCAAAAATTACAAAATTAATTTTGCTATAAAATTGGCCTTATTCATCGGTCTGCAGAAAACGTTAGAAAACCCATTTCAGTTTCGAATGTGTCACAAGAGCAAAAACATTACAAAAATTATTTTTAAAATTCGCCGCCCTCATCGCTCTGAAGATTTTTAAAGTTTATTTAAGTTTTCAGGTCATTCCAGTTTTAACAAAGCTTCTATTAATTTCTGCTCAAAAATCTAATCATTTTCTAGTTTTACTTAAAATGCTGACAATCTTCGGATATTTCCCGCGAAAAATTATAAGATACATTTTATTGGAACATTCGCCTCCTTAACCGCTTTGTAAACATTTTTAGAAAACTTTTGAAGCTTCGAATTATCGACAAAACCATAATAATTATTTCTGGGACTTTCTCCAAAAATATTTCGTCGAACTGAAAAAGCGAAAGTTTGTAATCATTTATTGGGAAAACTCTTGAAAACTGCGGTTTGTTCACTTATAGGTCAATATTTCCAAACAACAGTGTCTCTAAACAGAAAATCCGCGTTTTCCTAACGTTTTACTGTAAAATACGGGCAACTTCATTTATGCAAAAAAAACTAAGAGATTGATTTAACAAGAAAACTTGTCGACTTTCTTTGGAGTCAGTTCTGTTGCTAGTAAAACCTAGATTACTTTTTTAAGTTGTTTGAACAAAGTAGTAAAACGTTACTAAGAAAAAATGTTGATAACCTTTTTTAAGATGTGAAAATTCCAGTCTCGGGTCTCGTAAAGATTTAATAAATGACTTATAACTCATTAACCGATGACTTCTAACTCGTCAACTCGAACAGCGGAAACAACTCAATAGCGCAACTCAACAGAGTGTTACCCTAGTTGATGTGCCTTTACTGGTTATTAATATATGTGTACATTTATTTCTTAGTTACTTTGTCGTGCATTATGTGTCTGATAACTGTTCATCCTTTGCTGGCACGTTTTATGCTTTGTTTAACCGTCTTAAAATGAGAGTGATAGCTTAAGTTCCGAAACGAAATATACTTTGATTAATTTGATTAACTGGTCAATGTATAAATCAATTAACTTATCAAACGCGTAATAAAAAGAATAAAACATGTGTTTGCTTGGAAACTCTGATATTATAAGCAAAGGAAGAAGATGCGAACTTTCCTCTTAAAAATTTGACATACAAAAATGATGTTAAATGTTCCCATAGGCAATATTTTCAGGTTCCTCGTTTCTTTTCATATAATTTTCTTAACATTTATACAAATAACTAAAATTGCGCTTTCAACTCCAGCATTTGGAAAGTTGTGGCTTAGAAGAGAGGCATTTTCGAACATGGGTGAATATGTATAATAAGATGTATTTATTTTTTTAACCTTTCACATTATATAATTCTTTATACAGGTTAGTTCACTCACTATCTATTTATGTATAACTGTTTGTTGTATTTTATATCTGAAAGACTGCTAACTTTTACTAACCGAATTTTATTTATGTCTGTTATTCGGCCCACAAAAAATTAGCCGATGTTGCGGACTAGAAGGAAAAGCTGGCATTTTTATAAAGTAAACATTGCCATTCCTTTACCTTGCATACAATTTCGAATTTATCGCAAAATATTCGCTTGATAGATTAGCAAGTTTTCAAAATATGCAAGTTAAATATTGAGGTTCTTTGATGGAATTAAATTGGAAAAGGTCATAATTTAAAACATTTTCATTTACCAAAACACTCAGTT